TCCAAGATGCAGGCTATACTGGTGCTAAAGTGACTTGGTGCGATAACAGGGATCCACCCCTCACAATATGGAAGAGACTTGACAGATTGTTTACAATTGAGATTGGTTTGATAAACTCAACAATACTGCTGTAACTCACCTATCTAGACCTTGCTCAGATCATGCGCCTCTCCTGGTTAAGCTTCACCATGAAGATACCCAAGGAACCAGATACTTCAAGTTCCTCAACTTCTGGACGGAGCACCCTGATTTTAAACAGACAGTTCAGAACAGCTGGAATATCTACATCCATGGTAACCCCATATATATCCTTCAGCAGAAGATCAAGAACACTACTAAGGCCCTTAGCACTTGGTCTAGGACTACCTTTGGAGATATCTATGAAGAACCTAAAGACTGGAAAGCCTAATTAGGGACCTGGAAGAAATCTGTATGACTAACAACACCCCGGAGAATAGAAGTGAACTGTCAAAGAATAAAGCTGAGTTTATAAGATACCTAAAGATTCATGACTCTATTTTGAGTCAAAAAGATAGAATCAAATGGTTCAATGAGGGAGATGCCAATACTGCTTACTTCCATGCGACTATCAAAGAAAAAATGAGGAAACTGACAATTAGAAGGATCCAAGATGGTGAGGGTAACTGCTTGAAGATTGTGAGTCAATAACTGAGGGAGCTGTGAACTTTTACAAGAACCTTTTCTCCGAAGGCCCCAACAACTCAGACTTTAGGGCCCTAGACTGCATTGAAAGATGTATTACAGAAGAAGATAACATTAGAATAAGTGCCATCCCCACTCTCCAAGAAGTCACTCAGACTATATTATCCATTAATGTCAATAGCTCCCCAGGACCCGATGGCCTCAGTGGGATGTTCTACCATAAATGTTGGGACATCATAGCTGAGGATGTTCATAATGCTGTTAAAGTTGTGTTTAGTGGCTCAACCTTTACCAAATTCTACATTCACACCTGTATTGTCATGATTCCTAAAGTGGATCACCCCCAAAGTTTTTCTGACCTCAGGCCTATCAACCTTTGTAATGTGTCTTCCAAAATCATTTCTAAAATTCTCAACGCCAGGCTCTCCAACATTCTTCCCAGAATTATCTCCAGGAACCAATCTGGCTTCATTAAAGGGAGATCAATTTCAGAAAACATACTCCTTGCACAAGAGATCATCAGTGACATCAACAAACCAAATAGAGGAGGCAGTATTGTCCTGAAACTTGATATGACCAAAGCATATGATAGAGTCTCATGGAGTTTCCTCACAAACGTTCTAAAGAAGATGGGGTTCAGTGACCAATGGATCGAGATTATTCATAAATACATCTCCAATAATTGGTATTCTGTGTTGGTTAATGGAAGAAGAAATGGCTTCTTTCACTCTGAGAGGGGCTTAAGGCAGGGAGACCCTCTCTCCCCTTCTCTCTTTATTTTAAGTGCTGAAATTCTTTCACAAATGTTGAACAATCTAACTAGTAGAGTGGGATACAAAAGTTTTTACATGAAGGCTAACTGTCCTAAAGTTAATCATCTTTCTTTTGCAGATGACACTATTTTATTCTGTAATGGAAACAAGAGGTCCATGAGATTGGTATTTGATTAGGTCGCAGCGGACTCAACCTTTGGAAGAGTGGGCGCTAATACTTTTACCCAATAGTGGTATCGGGGTCAATTTCCACAGGGAGCTAGGAATGGAGTTGGATATTTGTTTAGCCTAGAAATGCGAGTTTGCTTCTAATTGATCTTCGATCATTTTTGGTTTTTTTTTGTGATTATCAACTACAATTTAACAACTACTAATTATAACTAAATTATGCTAAGATATTAAGTCTAGGTTGTATGCAAGATAGAGAAAAGCACTAGGGTCGTGGCATTTACCTAGGTGGTCAACTAACGGGTAGAGATTCCTAATACGAGAATGATGATTATGGGGCTTATGATATAACCGTTGCACGATAGCACTCACTCTCACACCTCTCGGTAGAAAGAATGATTTTGCCCAATTGACTCTCTCGAGACCAATTGGGTAGGCTAACAAACCAAGCAACTTAGGGTTCAAGTTGGGTAATTACTCTCTCGAGGTTTTACCCGTTAATTGGGACTACCATTCTCATAGATCCATCCCAATTCCTTGTTGGGTTAATTTTGGGAGTCATAGACACTCTTTCTCAAGAAGAGTCAAGACCCACAAAGCTAGACTTAGTGTTTGCAACCACCAAATCCAAGTGAAAACATAAAATTAACCCAAATATCAAACACCCAACATCATTCAAGCATTAAACAATCATACCCATTAATTACCCACACTAGGGTTGAGCCACAACCCTAGCTTATGGGTTTAGCTAGCCATGATAACAACAGAAATTGAAGAAGAAATAGATAAAATGAACATATTAATTAACTAGAATGTAAATCTACAAGAATCCACGTTAAACAAGATGAAAATGCCCAAAATAGGCTAAAACTTTTGTCTCACGAGTGCAGCAGCTCTCTGGTATCTAATTCGTGCCCTAAAAATGGCAAATATTCTATTTATACTAAGTTAAGAAAAACCGGACAAAAATACCCCTGCGGGGTCCGTGCGGTCCGCACGAAGTTGACACGCGGCCGCACTGGGTTGCTTGACTTCTGAGACTTGCCTTCTGAAGATGTTGACGCGGACCGCACAATGATGAAGTGCGGCCGCATGA